AAGAATTTTGATCTAAGAACTTCAAAAATTCTTTTATACACATGATCATCACACTGGTTTATTTCTTTAATTAGTACTGATTTCCTAATTATTTTTATTATCTATTTGATAAAATAATATAATCATGTCAGATCATTTTTTGAAGAATTTTTTTATGTAGTTAAGTATGTAAATTTTATTTTTTAATGCCATCCTAATTCTCAATAAATTAAATGAGAAAAATAACTTCACTTATAATCTTAAATTGAAACAAGTACGTTAAAATGAGATGGAAGAAGCACTGCGTACAAACGCTGCAAGTTGCCATAGACGTGGCAAAACTGAATTGAACCAAATGGGATAATAAGTACTCAAAATTAGACAAGATGCAAAATAGTTAAACCACTGTTGGCTCGAAACCCGAAAGAAACCAGTTTGAAACTCAACCGATCTAAAACCTAAGAGATCTGATGCAACCACTTGGATTTTAATTGGCCTATTCAAACGCAAAGTTGAAATGGTCATAATTGAATCCAATCTTTTTATATTCTTGTTAGTTTTTTTTTTGGGACTTCTAGAAATGTATCAAGTGTGGTTCTTTCAATTTTGTGTTGTTCTCTGCTCATTTTAATATTAAAATGTGTTGTTGTTCTCTTATTATTCGTCCTTTAATTTATTGCTCGTAGTTAATTATGTTCCTTGTTTAGTGCGGGACCAGGTAGTGCAGCCCGAGGCCGTCATGATTTTCATGCTGGTTACAATTTCAAAGAGCCACCTAGAGATCATTTGATCTCTACAAAGTTTTTTTGGAAGCAATGAACTTAAATATTGGGATAGTTTTTCATGCAAAAGCCACTAGTAGACAGCGGAAGAACAGAATCACTAAAGGAGGCACTTGGCGTACTTGGAGAAATGGTCTGAAGAAAAATACTGAGAGTTACTTCAAAGAGCGATTTACGCCTCAAGGTCTGCCAAAGGAAGAGGTGGTCTGACTTATTCCATGCAAGGTCTTTGTGGACGTCAGATCCAGCCGTTCAGAGTAGAGGAGGTTAAACATGCTATTTTTTCAATGCATCTTAATAAGTCCACGAGGGTTTAACCCGAGGTTTTATCAATGCTTTTGTGAATTCATTGGTCCGAAAGTCTCAAATTTTTGAGTTTTGCACCTTGGCTTGAGAGTACTATACCTCCTTCTCTTGGTGATATCAGTTGTCCTCATTTTCAAGAAACAGGACCCAAAGGGTGTGGCAGAGTTGTGTCCTATTGATCTATGCAGAGTTCTTTAT